CCATTAGGTGTATTACGGTAGCACCGGGACCCCGTGTGCCTAGCGCTGTACATTAGGTGTATTACGGTAGCACCGGGACCCCGTGTGCCTAGCGCTGTACATTAGGTGTATTACGGTAGCACCGGGACCCCGTGGGCTAGCGCTGTACAAACATAGCACCGGAGGACAGTCCCTGCCCCGCAGAGTTTACAGTACATGACAAGGGACAGCGAATGGAAACAGCCGGACAAGGAGACAATGAGACAGTAGGGGTCAACATGACAGGCTGCAGTCTGGGCCTGGCTGGTGTCATTTGTAGGCCTCATCGGGAAGGCGAGTGCTGAGGAGGGATGTGAAGGTGGTTGAGACTTGCTTTGTGAGTGTTTATAGGGCACGCCTCCCCCATGGGAGGGGCCCATGGCAGAAAGCACCAGGGACGTGCTTAGAATTAGGACAGGCGGGTGATGGAAGTGGACAGCACAGGCCCATGGCGGTGGGGACTGATGTTCTGATACTGACAGGTAGGGTGAAGCTAGGACGTGGAAGGCCGTGAAAGTGAAAAGAAATAGCTTATGCTTGGTATTGTTATGCTGAGAGAAACTGGGGACTGCACGGGTCACAGACCTCTGAAACTGGGTGTGAACTCACCTTCAATTAATATAACTGTTAGGGTACATTAATTACCAGCCCCCACACCTAAAACCAAGGCGCTGTGAACCCCCTAGAGAGTTTTAAACTGGATGGGGAAAGGGCCTTTGGCCGAGCCCTGGTCTACATGCTGAACTTACGTTAGTCTAATTACATCACTCAGGGGTGTGGAAAAGCCGAACGAAGCAGTTATACTGACCGAACTCCCCCTGTAGACAGCGTTATGTCGATGGGAGGGCTTCTCCTGTGGACATAGCTACCGCCTCTCGGGGAGGTGGAGTACCTACACAGGTGGGAGAAGCGCTGCCGCCCACATACATAGTGTCTTCACTACACGCTTCAGCGGTGCAGCTGCAGTGCTTGAAGTGCAGACAAGCTCTGAGTATTGTTTGGGGTTTTCATTCCTCCTGCTAGTGCTAGTTTGCAGAAGCAGGACTTTGTACCCTCGGTGAATAAACAAGGCTGCGTTCAAGACAATATCGGACTCCATCATGAATTTGTACGGCCAGCTGGGACATCGCCAGGGCCCCGAACTTGGATTAGCTGCTTGGGTCAGAGGTGTAACACGACCATAGAGAAGAGGAGCCAGCCAGAGCGGAGAGAGAGCCCATTGTTTTGGCCAAAAGAACATGATCTTTGCAGCAGGCAGCATCCTGCATGGATATGAGTGGGGCCAGACTGCATTTGTCAGGCCAGAGAGAGATGATGAGCTTTAGCTGTGGGGATGGAGAGAAACAGTCTCAGCCCACCAAAGCTTATGCTCAGATAAATGTGTTAGTCTCTAGGGTGCCACAAGTCCTCCTGTTCTTTTAGTCTCAGATCAGGGCTTTCTGGGCAGCACCAGCCCAGGCAGTTTCATTTCGGGGGCTGGGAGCCCAAAGCCCTACCCCCCACTGGACTGTAGACAGAGCTCATGGCCAGGTCATGTGGGGATGGTGCTGAGGTTAATGAGTGACAGGAGGAGGCGGGGGTGACAGGGCTGTTACCCCATCCACTCCCCCTTGTCTCTAACTTGTCTCTTTCCTCCATCCTGCCAGGTTCTCCGGGAAACTCCCAGCATGAAGCTTCTCACTGCTGTCCTGTTCCTGGCCGTGCTAGGTGAGTGTGTCTCGGTGCAGCCCCACGCCTGCCCCATTGGGCGCTGGCTGACAGTGTGTGTGGGGATCCCTCTGCCTGGAAGCCAGGTCTTTTGGGCACCCTCTCCCACAGGAATCAACTTTGACTTTCCAAGTGGAAACCACTAAAGTACCTGATAGAGACTCGGTCACAGGAGCGGGGGAGAGGGGGAGGGAATGCAGCTTGGATTTGGGGGGAGCAGGAAACATGAATTAGAAACAGTGTAGCCGACTGAGCCTTTCCCAGCTCTGGGAACACCCTGCTTTGCTAAGCATTCAGCGAGGTGCTCTGTTTACTGGGTCCCGATCCATTCAATCAGGCAGAGTGCTGGCTGGGGAGTCTCAGGACTTGTCTACATTGGATGTTTCTGGCACTGGTCTAACCCTTTAGTGTGTAAAACAGTTTGCATCCGGTGTAAGACACATCCAGCTCAGAACTGTGGTGTGCCTCACGGGTGTGAACGCTGGCTGACTGGAACACTGTCAGGGCAGCGGAAAAATCCACACACACACACACACACACACACACACCCCCGCGGTATAAACACTTTGCACTGGTGTAAAAAGGATATTGGAGAATCGGTGGGGGCTCAAAGACGGGCAATGAGAGGGAGTCAGGGTCTGGGGAAATGCCCTGGGAGGACAGGATGAAAACACTGGGCGTGTTGTCTAAAAAGGAGACAGATAAAAGGGGATGTGATAAACATATTGTTCCCTTCTACAAGAGGCAGACAATATCTCTCTGGCAAGGCCCCAAATCGATGGTAAGAGTCAGGTCTCGTTTTTGGTACAATCCTGTTGATTTACAGAGAATGGGCACAGAATTCCTTTCCCCTGAACACAGCAGGAACATACAACAGCAGGTGGTTTCCTTTTCCAGAAATCCAAGCTTGCCTCTCCACCAGCTCTGTGCTCCAAGGAGCCCTAGCTCTGTTCCCTCCCAGGCCAATGCTCACAACAGCGTCTCTCCCTGTCTGCCAGCTTTGTGCCTTTGATACACACAGACATACACAGCTGCTGCCAGCCAGTGCCCCATCCCCTGCGTTTGAAATCAGTCACTAGGGAAACCCCTTGGCCCACACGGCTAAGCTTCTGCTCAGGCCTTGCCCTTCTGGTGAGTGCCTTGGGCAGTGGCTTCTCTGGTATCAGTTCTCACTACAAAAAGGGATATTTAATTGCTCTTTCTGTCAGTTTGGATGAATCAGAGAACTGAACCCTGGAAGGCACCTTAAGAGTTCATCTAGTGCAGCCCGCTGTTCCGAGGCAACTCCAAGTAAACCTAGAGCTCACCAGTGCTAAATAGAGTGAACAGTTACCTCCTATGTCTTACATAGCACACTCCTATTAATACACCCCAGAATGATATAAACCTTTTTTGCAGCTGCATCACATTGTTGGCTCATATTCAATTTGTGATCCACTCTAACCCCCAGATCCTTTTCAGTAGTACTACTGCCTAGCCAGTTATTCCCCATTTTGTTGTTGTTCTTTTCCTTCCTAAATTAAGTACTTTGCACTTGCCTTTATTGAATTTAATCATGATAAATTGGAGAATTGGACAGAAATCAACAAGGTCGTTTTGAATTCTAATCCTGTCCTCCAAAGTGCTTGCAACCCCTCCCAGCTTGGTGTCATCTGCAAATGTTTAAGCATATTACCCACTCCATTCTCCAAGTCATTAATGATAATATTGACTAGTACTGAACCCAGGACAGACCCCTTTGGGACCCCACTGGGACCCTTTGGAACCCCACTGGGACCCTATGGGACCCCTTCCAGTTTGACAAGTGCCTCATTGATAACTACCCTTTGAGGGTGATCTTTCAGCCACTTTTGCACCCACCTAATAGCAATTTCCTCTAGACCACACTTCCCTGGTTTGCTTCTGAGAATGTCACATGGGACTGTATCAAAAGCCTTATGAAAAAATCAAGCTATAATCACAGCTACAGCTTCCCCTCTGGCCACTAGCCCAGTAACCCTGACAAAGAAGGAACTGTCTGGGCATGATTTCTTCTTGACAAATCTCTGTTGGCTATTTCCTAGAACCGTGGTTCGCAACGTTTTTTTTTCACGGACCACTTGAAAATTGCTGAGGGTCTCGGCGGACCACTTAATGCTCTTTTCAAATGTCGTTTGTACCATTAGCTAACTATTGTAAAGCACTTTGGATAAAAGTGCTATATAAAAATAAACTTAATTTTTTTTGTTCTACAGATAAAATAACACAACTCATATTTTCACATCCGTAGTCTTACCTTTCTAAGGCGATAGATGTGCCCTCTCTGCCCTGCTGCGGCAGCCCCCAAGTTGGGGCTGGGAAGGGTGGGGAGGTCTCAGGAGCCACGCAGCCCCCGAGCTGGGGCTGGGAAGGAGGGGGTCTCTCCCCACCACACCAGCCCCCGAGCTGAGGTTGGAAAAGACGGATGTCTCTCCCCGGCAGCCGCAGCCCTGGAGCTGGGGAAAGTCGCCTTTCTCTGGTGGCCGCAGCCCTGCATGTCCCAAATTCCTCACACCCCCTTTTCTGACCCCACTGCCCCCTCCCACCTACCCCCCATTCTCCCCAAGGCCACCCCCTCACCTTACATGTGTGTCTTCTCCAGGGTCCAGGCACCTAATTAGTGGAGCTTGCTCAGCAGGGTGAAGGGTGCTCAGGGAACTCATCTCCAATAAGCAGGTCTGTGATCGACTGCAGGGGATCAGGATACTCTGTTCCCCCAGCTCCTACCCTTAGGACGGGGGACAGTCAATGGCAGTGCAGGTGATGAATTCAGAACCAGTGAAACGACTGTCACGGGAAGTTGCTGATGCCAAGATCTTCACAGGATTCACAGAGGCGTTTCTATGGATAACGGGAGTATCCAGAATGACCATAGTTAGAGATTTGGGAGGCGCATAAACCCGGCTGCCCCAGTGCTAACTATTAGGGTGAGGAGGAAAAATACCCACATCTGCTACTGAGGGGTTCTTGCACATTCCCCTGAACCACTGGGTGCCAGCTTCTAGATACTGGCCTTGACAAACCATGGGGCTGATCCAGTCTGCCAATCCCAGTGTCCCAGTGCCTTATCAGGAGTCTGTGGCAAAGCTGGGATAGAAGCCAGGAGTCCGGGCTCCCAGCCCCTCTGCAGTAACCACTAGACCCCATTCCCCTCCCAGAGCTGGTTGGAACCCAGGAGTCTTAAGCCGCATCCCAGTGCAGTTAACATGTGCCCCTCCTTCCAGGGAGCGGTAGCTCAGTGGGTCTCTCCAGGCCAGGGCAGCCCTGGGGCCTGCAGTGACACTGTCTCACTGGGGATCCCTTTCCTTTCCCAGGCTCCAAGGCCTCTCCCCTCAGCAAGGAACCCACGCCAAGGCTGGACCAGGTTGCAGACGCCATCGAACGTAACTTGGAGCAACTTATCAGAATGACCGTGGAGCTGATCGAGAAATCCGAGCTGGGCCAGGAGATCGAGTGAGGCGCCTGCCCTGACTTGGAGGCAGGGTTTGGGAGCCCCCCTTCCATGCCAGGGACCCAGAGTAGAGGGGTTAGAGTCACCCCTGACTGCAGGACCCACACCTCTGCTTCTGGGCCCAGCAAGCCCCCCGAGCTCAGCAGGGATTGGCCTGGCCAACCCCAGGGACGCTGGCAATTCAGCAACGGGTGCAGAATTGTGTCCATTATTTGGCATGGCAGGGCCCGATGCCGCTGGGACCTGGGGGCTGGGGCCAGATCAAAGCCAGCAACACTGGGGGTGGGGAGGACCCATATCACATTCCCAACCCCCATGAGCCAGCCAGTCCTCCTGCCCTGGGATCACATTCCCGTCCCAGACACCTCCCAATCCAGCCAATCCTTCTGCCTTGGGGTCAGACAGAGCCAGCAGCCCAGAGGGTGAGTCACTCTAAGCTGCTTCCCTTTCTTTGCAGGGAGTGGAAACTCTATTGGAAAATTAATAACTTCTTTGATGACCTAAACCGTAAGGTGCCCCCCAAGGCCCAGGAGCAGCTGAGGAACCTGAGCAGGCCGGTGGAAGAAAGTGTGACAATGCTGTGGGAACTGGAGAGGAAGGTGCAGCCCTACATGAACCAGCTGCGTGATGTCCTGGTGTCCTACACCGAGGGGCCGCTGGAGATGGTGGAGCACTACAGCAAGACCCTGCTTGGTAGCCAGGCGTACAGCAACGTCCCGTCTCGGGTGGAGCTGCAGGAGCAGCTGGGCTCCTATGCCCAGGAGCTGGGGCTGCAGGAGTTCGAGCGCAGTCTGGCAGCCTACACCAGGGACCTGCACCAGAAGCTCAGCCCCTATGCTGAGGACTTGCATGGCTGGCTGAACTCCCGCTGGGACGCCTTCATGCAATGTTTCAGTGAAGAGACCGGTGGGGGTGCCTCATAGGCCCTGTCCATACCTGGAGCCCAAGGCGATCCCCCAGGATTGAGGGGGACAGCTCCGCTATAAGGCACCCCGCAGCAGGCTCCCTGCCCCATACAGCCGTCCATCGCTCAATAAACCAGCTGTTTAATCATGCAGTGATGTGTGGTCCTGCTGCATCTCTGGGGAAGGGGGCTTGGGGTGTCAATCCCCCCACAGCGCAGGAGGTCACCAGCCCTGTGGAGGGGCATGGCGCCAATTACCCACTCCCCACAAACTGCTCAACCTCCCCCCCAATGCTCCCCCTAAACCATCCCCCCTTAAACATGCCCCACCCCTGTGCTCCCTTTAAACTGCCCCACCCCAGAGCATCCCCCAGCTTACATTCTAAACTGCTCTCGCTCCATCTCTTCCCCTACACTGCACCACCCTGGCCCATAGGCGTGGGAACTGGGGATGCAGGGCGTGATGCAGCACCCCCAGGTTTTGCATGGGGTCCCAACCACTGGCCCCATACCTGGGGCTCTGCTCCCAGTCCCAGCTGTGGTCCCAGCCTCAGCCCCCCCACCCCTCCCGGAGCCACAGCCCAGTCCTGGTCCCAGCTCTGGGGAGAGGGGACACGGACAGAGATAAGGGGGGGTGAAAAGTAAAAAATTTGGGCTTTCAGCACCCCCACTGTAAAAAGCGTTCCAGGGCCACTATGTCAAGTTCTGCACAGAGCTGTAGCAACAAGTCCCCACTTCCCAAGGAGCTCCCTCAAGTTCAGTAACAGCCCTATCGCCGCCCCTTTTAACGTGCCCCCCGCCCTCCCGGGGAGATGTTGCCGTTCAGAGGGAAAATAAGGCCCGATAGCCCCTGTGAACACGTGAGCCCTTGCTCTGCTCACTCCAGCGTTAATGAGCTCCCCTGGAGAAGGCTGGGGGCGGGAATGAGACACTCAGGCTGGCTGGGCCAAGGAGGAGGCAGGAAGCCCCGCGAGAGGGATCAGCGCCAATACCGGATTGATAATGGCGCCGGGCCCATGGTCGAAAGGGGCCCCGGCGCGCTCTCCTCCGCCCCCCTGGCGCACTCTCCTGTGGGGTCAGAGCTTGATGCTGCGGCTCCGTGGCAGCCTCTGCTGGCACCCTGGCTCCTGCCCCGCCACTTTCCCCAGCGTGCTACGTACGTCTTGCCGGGGGGAGCCGCAGCACGCAGCTCCGAGTCCGGGGGGGAGGAGGCCTGTCCCCCACCTCTTTCCCCAGCGGGCTACGTCCCCCCCCTTCCCCGGGCGCTGGTCAGTTGGATCAGCCTTGCAGGCAGGAGGGGGGCAAGGAGGAGCAAGCCGCAGCACGCCACTCCGGGGAGGAGGAGAAGACAAGCCAGGGTGAGGCCTAGGGGAAGGGGCTGGAATTGGGGCATACCCCCTCCAGCCCCCTGCGTGAGCACACCCCCGACCCCAGCCCACCCCACAGCCCCCTGCCCACCATAACCCCTGCACCCCCCTCCTGAGCCCCTGGCCCTGCCCTGACCCTGCACTCCCCTCACACCTCCTCAGCCCCCCCTCACACACGGATTGTCTGTGGTGCCTGGGAGCAGGGGGGGCAGTGACAGAGGGACTTGTCAGTGCTGGCTGCCATGCCCCCTGCCAGTGGGAATGCCAAGAAACTACCTCCCTGCACTCCGGGGAGGGGAGGAGGTGCCGCCCAGTTTTGGGGGAAAGGGGCAGTTGTGGGGCAAGTCCGGGTGCAATGGGGGAGCTGGCGGTGACTCCGTGTGAGGGGTGTAGGAGAAGCAGGGTGTTAAGGTGGGGGTTGGTGGGGCAGGGGGCAGAGGGAGGGAGGGAGGGGAGAGTCTGGGTTGAAGGTGGGGGTTGGCTGTGTGTGTGTGTGTGTGTGTGTGTGTAGAAGGGGGGTAGTAGAAGAGAGGGAGGTGACAGCCCTGAGGTGAAAGTGGGTAGGGAGTGGGCAATAGCAGGGAGATTGAGGAGAGCCTTTGTTAGGGGGTTAGTTGTGTGGGATGGGGACAGTAGGAGGGATGGGAGGAGAGCCCAGGTGTGAAGATTGGGGTAGGAACTTGAGGCTGGATTGTGGTAGCCTTTGTAGTAAAGTGTGTGTATTTCAGTGGCCCTTTTTCTCTGCAAAAGATGGGCACCAGCAATTTTCCTCCCCACCCCAAAGGTTTGTAAACATTATTGTACCAAAGTAGAGAATGCAGCTTTCAAAAAATGTATTTAGGAAACATAACTTTGGGTGGAGGAGGTGGGGGGAGATGCAGGTGCGACACCACTGACTGCTGCAGCCGGGATTAATATGGCTCATAAGTGTGTTAATTAAGCACTTGTGTTCAGGGTCCTAAGCAGGCCCTGAGTGTTTAAAGAAAAAAACAAAAAAACTAACAAACAACCCCCCCACACACAAACCAAATTCAGTGGTGTTCTGCGTACATTGGTGTTAGCCCAGTTTGTTCTCTATGGGCTGAGTGGCAGTCTCAGTTTGGCTTCAAACATCTTATTTTGTTTTTGAATAAATGTTTTCATTCCCATCCCGGCAATACCACATTTACTATGGCATCAATGGTGCTGTCACGCTAGGACCATATCTGGGTGGGGTTCATCACAACCACATGGGGGCCCACCAATATGTTTGGCGCCGGGCCCACAAAAAGTCGATCCAGTAACACAGAGGCCTCAAGGGAGGGCCTGGGGAGAGGGCCGAGAAGTGTGCTTGGTGCTGTCTGGGCTGGCGCATGGGGATTGTTGTAGAAATGGAGGAGGGCACTTAAAATAAAAGGGGGTAGTGAAGGCACAACCCCGGGTGTCCGTGCAGTGTCCCACAGAGGAGCCACGTCCTGTGACACCCCCCGCCCCCAGCCTCCATCCCCCGCCCTTGGGCAGGCTTAGCACTGGAGCCCCCAGGATGTAAAAGGTGCCATATTCCCTCCCCTGCATCAGCCAGTCCCCATCCTTCTGACAGCTCAGCGCCCGCGCCGCCTAGAGGGAAAAGGCCCATGTCCCATTCCCTGCCACCCTAAGCCAGCCACTTCCCTGCCCCTGGGCTGGATCAGAGCTGGTGGCCCATTCCCCATCCCACCTATGCCACTGGCAGCAATGATCGCCCCCCCCCCCCCCGAAGGATGCCTGAACAGCAGAGTCACTGTTAGCAGGGCAATCTCGCCCCCTGCCCACAGACCCTCGGATTTGCAAAGTTAAAGGGAAAAAATGTCATGACAGAGTAGCCCCGCCCCACACTGTTGCCTGTGGCAGCAGAAGGGTGCTGCGCACACCCACGCGGGAGCAGGACTGCCAACAGCCTCTAGTCACGGTGGTGCCTTAAATAAAGGTCCCGACAGCCCTCTGCACCCGGTGCTCCCTGCTGCCAGGTAACTATTGTGGTGTTTGTTGTGCCCAATGGCCAACCAGAGCCAGAAGCCCTTTCTGTTCAGCCAGCCTCCCACCAGCAGCTAAACACCCCTCCTGTACCCCAATTCCCTGCCCCAGCCCTGAGCCCCTGCCCGGAGCCTGCATCCCGCACCCTCAACCCCCTGCCCCAGCCCTTAGCCCCCTCCAGCACCCAAACTCTCTCCCAGAGCTTGCACCCCTCACCCCCTCCTGCACCCCAAACCCCAGGCTCAGCCTGGAGCCCCCTTCCACACTCCGAATCCCTCGACCCCAGCCCAGATCCAGGGCGGGGCAGGGCAGGGCAAGGGTGTTTGGGTTTCTGTGATTAGACAGTTGGCAACTCTAGCGCCAGGGGCCCTGTGCTGCAGAGCGGGGTGTATGTGTGGGGGGCTCAGTAGGAGGCGCTCCCCCCTCACAGGCAGTGCTGGCTCCAATGCAGTGCTGGGGACCTGTGCTGCAGAGCAGTGGGGAGGCTCAGTGGGGGGGGGGGGGCTCCCGCTCACAGGCAGTGCCAGCCCCAGTGGGCCTGCACTGCAGACAGCATGGTGAGGAAAGTTGGTGAGTAACACTGGGCAGAGCTGTTTATCGGGAGGTCACAGCAGGGCAGGGATAGCACAAGCCATAGGGGAGAGGCTTACGGGGATCATCGTGGGGGGAGTTTCGAAGGGGAAAGGCCCCACCCAGGAGACGGCCCTATTTCCCCCTGTCACATGTCCATGATCATGCCCCTGGCTTGCGCCCCACCCGTCGCTTGGCTAAGAGCCCGTTCTCCCTCACGGAGCGGGGCTGCACGACCCTGCCTGGGGCAAAGCCCCGAGCTGGATTATAACAGCTGCTCCCCTCCCCCAGGGATCCAGCAGCAGCAGCAGCACAGGGGGTGATTAATCAGCAGGTGGTTTATTGAGCTCCTGGGAGGTTGTTACAGACACAGGGAGTGACTAGGGGTGATGGGACAGGGACCCTGGGCATGTCAGGGGCCCTTAGAGAGGAGGCTGCCCCCTCTCGAGCACCTGTGACCCCTGAAGGCTCCGTGCATGGATGGGGTCTGTGCTCCCAGTCCCATGGGCTCCATGGATGGATGGGGTCTGTGTCTCACCCCTCGCCCGCCTGGCTCTGTGTTCCCATCTCCCCACCAGCGCCGGCCCCTCACTGGAAGTGCTGCAGGAAGGAGGCCCAGAGGGAGCCCAGCCGCCCCTGCAGGTCCTGGGCGTAGGGACCCAGCTGGCTGTGCAGCTGCTCCAGCAGCCCCTCGGCATAGGGCGCCAACCCAGCCTGCAGCTCCTCCACGCTCTTCTGCAGCTCCGCGATGGATGGCTGCACCTTCTGGTTCAGCTCCCGCAGGTCCCCGGAAACCTTCTGCACCAGCAGGTCCGTGTCCTTGCTCAGCTTGGCCACCAGCTCCTGGGCCACAGCGGGCAGCTGCTTCTGCACCTCTGTGCCATAGCTGTAGGCAGCCAACAGGCTGTGGCTGACGCGGCTGCTGTGGGGACGGGGGAGCGGATGAGAAGGGAATGGGGGACAGGGCCTTGCCCCTCTATGGGGCTCTGGCTCCGATCCAGCCCCAGGGTCGGGAGGACTGGCTGGCCCAGGGGAATGGGGGACATGGGGCCTTGCCCCTCTATGGGGCTCTAGCTCTGATCTGGCCCTAGGCGGGGGTCTGGTTGACTCAGAGGGGTGGGGAATGAGACACGGAGGCCTTTCCCTTCTATAGGCTCTGGCTCCGATCCAGCCCCGGGGCAGGGGACTGGCGGCTCAGAGGGGTGGCCGGGTGGGGACACGGGGCCCTGTCATCCTGGACATGGGCTCAGTTCTGACTCAGAGGATCCCGGTGAGGGCCGGGGTTTGCTGAGCCCGGAAGCCGAGGTGTGGGGGCTGCAGTCAGGGGGGCGACTAACCTCCCCCATCTGCTCTGGGTCCATGGGGAGGATGGGAGGCTCCCAGCCCGCAAGGTAGGGCTCCCCCCACAAGTCAGTGCCGGGTTCTCACTTGATCTCCCGGCCCAGCTCAGATTTATGGATCAGCTCCTTGATTTTCTCGGCTTTTGCCATGTACTCCCAGAAGGCTTCCCGGACCTGCTCCAACCTCGGTGTGGGCTCATCGCTGAGGAGAGAGGCCTGGCTGCCTGTGGGGTGACAGAAATCCCCAGCAAGACCCTGTCATTGGAGGCTGCAGACCCACCCTGGGGAGACTCAGAGATGGGACTCTACAGAGCTACCTTGCTCTGCAAGGAGGGGCCGGGGCTCAGGATTCCTGGGCCAATTCCAGGCTCTGCAATCGACTCCCCATGTGGCTTTATGAGAGTCACTTTGGGAAATTTTCAGGTTCTTATTGGAAATCAGGAGCCCCCACCACGCCGGGGGCCGCCCTGACCCCGGCCGAGCCCGGGGCTCCCCACCGCGCTGGGGGCCGCCCTGGCCCCGGGGCTCCCTACTGCGCCAGGGGCCTCCCTGACCCCGGCTGAGCCCGGGGCTCCCCACCACGCCGGGGGCCACCCTGACCCCAGCCGAGCCTGGGGCTCCCTACTGCACCGGGGGCCGCCCTAACCCCGGCCGATCCCGGGGCTCCCCACCGCGCCGGGGGCCGCCCTGATCCCGGCCGAGCCCAGGGCTCCCCACCGCGCCGGGTGCTGCACACACACAGTGAGAGATGGCCGCTGCCCTAATAGAGACAGGCCGGATTATTCTCCGTATTTTACAGATGGGAGCTGAGGCCCAGAGAGATTCAGGGGCATCTCCAGGGCTACCCAGGGAGTCTGCAGCAGAGCAGGGAACTGAACCAAGAAGTCCTGAGCCCCAGCCCAGTGTATTTACCACAAGTCCCAGCTCCCAATTCTCTCCCTGCGTGCGTGGGCTCTAGATGTGTCTGTGGGCTCGAGGCCGCTGGGTAACTAAGTGTAGGGTCCCAGGCAGAGGATCCCT